TTCCGCGGAGCTTCCGCGTCCTTCCGCTGCACAGAAAAACCTCGTTTTCGGACCAAGACTTGAGGAGTTTCTGTGTTGCGCAAGTATAATTGATCTACCGTAAAAAAACCGCTGTTAAATCTTTCAGGCCTTGGCCCCAGAATTTTGACGGTCTGCGGACGCGTGCGTTTGAAGCAAACACCACGAGTGCCTCAATGCCTGGCTCCACTGCGTTCCAGCGCGAGGGGATGCCGTCAGTGGCGCGGGTAGCACCAGCCAACCGCACTATGGTTTGTGCCCTCTTGTTGTCTCCTCAAGCGCCGGAGGTGAGAAGGACCCCAAGCAAGCTGAGTCGCTACCCCGTGTCATAGGCCCAAATTCATCAGCATCTTTGCGCCCCCTCTCAGTCCTTTGCGCTGCCCATGTGTGCTGCGCGAGGCTTTTAACTTGCGAGGTGTCGCTCTCTAGGAAGCTTCGATCAAAAGCGAGACGTCATGATGCTAATGATGCTTTCTGTTTGCAGAGGTCGGGGTGTCTGTGGTAGACTGAAAGATACCCGACCTATCTCCATGAAATGCTTGACTTTTTGGCGCAACACCTGAGCCCTGGGGGAATTGCTGGCCCATGCCGCAGGGCCTCAAAGATCACGTGATCAGCCTTGTGGCAGCAATCAGCGAGTTGGCCCAGGCACAGGTAAAGGGCAAAGCGTGAAGACAGAAAGAGAGAACGCAGCGGTGAGTGTCATATTTCTCGCAGGACCACTGAGGAGTAGGAAATCTGGTCGCATGCAGGGGCATGCCAGTGTACCTCGCCGATGCCGGCACGATCGCACGATCGTGCTGCTGCAGGTGGCAAGCAGCAAATAACAACAAACACGCACGAAAGGGCAAGCACCCCGCATGAACGCGACAGTTCCGTGTGCTCACAAACCACCCACACAATACTACCACCCTTAAGGAATCTTAAGAAGATCACCTTGGCATATTGTAGGCATTAAGTCCGCAAGTACAGAATGACCCCGCAGCTACTTTCCACAATGCACGATCCAGGAAAATGTACCTGGCCTAACGATCCAACACTGCCAAAGGCTGCTGGGTGATGCTCCCGTTCTGAACGATGAATTTGAACTCCCAAAAAACGTCATACCTTTTCTGGCGATTATCCTGACAGAATCTGCCTTATCTACTGAGGCACTCGTGCAATGTTGTAGGCATGTTCGCTCCAAACCAACAATGGAGGGCGCCTAGTGCTAGGATGGCTATAGAAGCTAGCCTGGCCCAGACTGTTCCATGTCCGCGTTGCACACGAACATTGAGAAATACCATGCGATGTTCCAGCTTTAGACGAGGCTCGCATCCGTCAAAGTGAGCGCCAACAGCTCGAAAGTGAACAGGGCCATGCTTGTCGATAGAATGGCATCTGGCCAAACCTGAGCGTCACGCTTCTGCAGTTCTCTTGCCTGGTATTGATGTTGACCGAGCCAAGCTTGTCTCATGTTATTGATGGATATTCTGCTGGTCCTGCAGCTACTTGTTTAATCATGCTGCGTTGTCCGACACGTCCATGAGCTTTGCGAGGTCAGGTAGGACAAGCGCCACGGCAAGAGCCAGCATCATCATTCTGATGCGGCAGCATAGTGTCAGCCGACAGCATACATTACTGTTTGCTAGTCTTGCAGCGCAAGGATCGTGGAGCAGAATCTGCTCTGCATGAGATGGCGAACTCTCCATGCACATGAACCATTGTAGAAATCACTGGCCTGGCCGGATGAGCAGGCGCATGCAGGAAACTCATCTAGATTCAGTCTTCGGTCTATGGTGCCACTAGCCGGGTGCCGTGTTGACTATGGAGGGTGGTGCGCCAAATTTGTCGAGCAAACGCATCCTGCGTCCGGACACACATGGAAGCTTGTGCCTGCAGAGCAAACCGCAGCTGGTGGCACCAGTTGCATATGCCGCCCTTAACCAAGTCTTGACGGGTCAGAAGGTGACGCAGGTGATTTGACATGCAGGCTCGCGACCGGGTTTGATGAATCCTCGCCAAGCCCTTTTGGGGCCCGGGGCACCTCACTGCCGAGCTATGAAGCTGATTGCTGATTGGCACAGCATCCTAAGGTCCTTGCTAGCGATCGCTTCGCACTGCCTTCGTCCGGCCTTTGCCAGAGTCGACAGTATCGACAGTTACATCACCTCCTGCTAGCATTTACAGAAGCATTGACCCCTCAGCTCCCAACTTCTTTGGTCGGTCGAGGCTCACGGGCCTCACAAAGCTCAGAGCCTTCAAAATGCATTCCGCAATCCTATATACCGCGATCCTATAATATACTGGTTGTGTATGTGTGCGGCGACATGTAATTTCAATTCGGTCGCATAATCTGCAGCTCATCTACGCGGCACAGCCTTTGCCCCGATTGTAATAGGGGGGGGGGGGTGGGGCGCATGCCTGGTCTGAAACCGGTTCTGAGATCGACAAGCTGGCCTGCATATTTGGAGCTGAGTTTGCTTTGGACAAGCTAAACAGGTGAAACCTAAGGCTGCCTGAAGCTTCCTTTGCAACGTTTGCCAGCAGTTATTTCAGTCGTGTATTGCTGAAACGTCCTTTGACCTTGTAGATTCCGGCAATCGAATGTAGCAAAGTGAGCTGGCAAGCTCCATCCTTAGCCCTACAAAGTGAAAGTGCAAGCAGCTCGAACTGAAACATGGACCAATGCGCAACTACCTCGTGCTATAAAGCCTGGGAAAAAAAAGCACCGGGATACTTGTAAGATCCGTCCAGGTTTTCGACATTTGAAGTCCAGAGCTAGGCAACGATTCCCGATTTCCGAAACAGTCTGAGGTGAACGCGTGGAAAGCCTTGTCACAACTTGTTTTACAGAAACCCTCCTCTTGCTTGAAATCTCAGCCACTTGCCGAGGCTGCTCTGCGGGATCCATGCTGCCATCACCCTAAACCTGTTGTGCTTTGTGCTTTGCTCTGTGCCGTGCTTTACCACGTGGAACTGCCGGAAGTATGTGGGAGTACAGCAAACATGAGTAGACGTCAAGACTCCAGATCTCAAAAAGATGCCGCATGCAATTGATTGCCTGCCATCAACTTAACCTTCTAAGCAAAAACGCTTCAACATGATTGGCTGGCATCTGAAGTGTGTAGGATTCGCTGTGACATAGCCTGGCCGGGCTGACAAAAAGCATGCATCTTTTGCACAATGAGTCGATGAGGCACTCAGCGAATGCAACAGGTATAAATCAACAAGCTAAGAATGCAGTATCTTCGTTGACTATGGGAACCTTCCCAGTTTGATAAGTCCGAAAACTACATACCCAATCTTGGACATCCATCATCTGCCAACCACTGCAGATAACGTTCCGGCACATCAGAACGTTGGGAAAACATTCTCGTGCCTGCTCTCCATGGAGCACTGCGGTCCAAATTGTATTTAACATGATCCGGAGAGCCGGCAGGCAGCGTGGTTTTCTTTTTGTGTTGTGGCCTATGTGACCAACAACATCTGACATGTAGTTGGCAGCCCCAAATGCAGGAGGCTGGCATCACAGGTGGGCTTGTAAAACCCATGCTCGAAAACCGGAAAATCAGAGACCCCTTCACATGCTGAGGAGCTCCTGTGTGGTGATCTCCGAGCATGCGAGCAATAAGATCTTTGAGCTGCCCATACGGCCACCTGAGATGTGAAGCTAACTAAACTTAGTACCTTCTGCTTCTGATGATGCCACCCATGAGGCTTGCTAGTGAAAGCTGTGAAACACGTGTACGCCGCAGCGCTCAATTTCAAATTTCCAGAGTCATGCTGCATTTACATAGGAACCTGAGGGTGGTTGCGTCAGAATGATTCTGCCTGTGCTATCTAGCATCCTAGCTGCAATCTCTGGGCAGTGAAACCTGCATGAGGCTAGCCTGATCCGGCAGACTCCTACTATACAGCCCGCAGACGGCTGACTGTCGGCAGTAGGTGGAGGCAGCACCAGCACCTGCACGTTAGCTTGGCAGCCGGTCAGTCGAGTGAAGCACCGAAGGCACGTGCAGCAAGTGCAGAGTGGTCCAGCATGAGATTCTTTGTCTCTCCGAGCGTTGCAAGTTTTCAGGTAAAATCCTGCTTTTGATGGGCCAGCCTCAGACCAGGCCGAGCTGAAAACAAGCAATTGTCACAGCTGGGCCGTGTCAAACTTTTAAGGCCAATGCTTCCGGGACAGCGATTTGAAGAGCGCTGTTGCTTCTGAAGTAGGCAGCCCCACAGCCTCTATGAAATGCACATGCGCACAAATGGGATAGCAGCCAATGCATAATTCTTCGCTCTCTTTGCCCTGGTCTGCAGTTGTGACGCTACCTTGGCAATGCACCACATTAGCTGTGGCAGCAGTGCCGTGGCAACGGTAGGCGGCAGCAACAAGCGTAGCAGCAGCACGGACGAGAATCACAAAGAGAACAACAGCCACAGCCAAGGCAGCAGCAGCAGCGGCGGCGGCCGCGGCGGTGGTGGCGGCAGCGACGACGACGACGACGACGACAACAACAACAACACCAGCAGCAGCAGCAGCAGCAGCAACAACAACAACAACAACAACGACAACGGTCTAACAGGGGTAGCAGCGGTGGCCTCCACCACCGCTGCCACAACCCCTGGCATAGCCACAGGGAGCAGCAGGACAAACAGCGATGTGTACAGTGTACTGCGACTGCGACTCTGACTGTTGCTGTCGCCACGGTAGCAGCAGCAGGAGCTGCCGAGCTGCGACGCCCACGATCAGAGCCAAAATATCGGCTTCAATGGGGATAGCCGTGCAGTGCACAACCGCATGAACGAAAGTACAGACTCAATGCACGTTGCGAAGTCATGCAGCCTCTAAGCTTCTGGGCATCGAATGGCATCGACCAAGCATATGTGTCATGTTCAAAGTTCGACTGGTGGTTCTGTAGACATGCCGGAGTGTGTTCGTCAGTGCCGAAATGTGGTGGAAAACGGCAATAATGAGGCATTAGATCCACTTATCACCACTTTAAAATCATTGACACCATACGTTAGGGGCATTGTCGTCAGCCTCGAGATCGGGAAAGGTTCCAGGTCCTGCTTGTTCATGAACGTCCGAGCAGGCAGAATTGAGTACTCCTGAAGGTCGCCATCCCAATCTCTCGAGTCACGTCCATATAAGAAGCAGCTTCAAAGCTGATTCTTTCGATTTAGGGGAGGAGGAGACATGCAGAACCGCTTTTCCGCGAGAACGTGCCGAAGTCAACATCTCCATGATGGGAAAAACTTGCTCTTCTTTGAGGTATCGTGCGTCGTGGCCTAGCTTTTAGTGCCGGCGTGATGGTAGCCGGGGGCATCATGGTTCGCTTGTCTCCATGCTGTTAGCATGCCGGGAAGCTGGAGCAGCAGGGGCTGTGATAGTATCGATAGCAACCCTGCTTGCCCAAGCTTCCATGGTGACGCAGTTAAGCAAGGAACAAGCTAGACCAAAAGACGATCATCACTGCGCGGAGTGACATGCAGGGTGTGAACGTCTTCGGCGGCCAGAATAGTGAACAATGGAATGCTCTATGTTGTGCGCGTTGTTATACTACAACAGACGAAATACCACAATGTCGTCTCGGCCGTACTTAGACTTAATTGGAGTGGATTTTGACTGAGTGAGCAAGAGGAATTGCATTCCCTGCGCGACATGACATAGTCACATGAGCTGTCGGTATGATGCGCCTAGATAACAGACAACAACTAGATGATAACAGCCTATCAGAGCGACGAGACCTAAATTCCAGTGCACTGCAAGCTCTGCCATTCAGTCAGTTATCGGAAGCGCCGATAGTTGCATTAGGCGGCGGCTCCTCCATCACGTTTCAATCCCGTTGAAGCCATGCCGCTAACAGTGTTCTGGTGACTTGCTTAGAATTTCTGTAGGTCTGCAAGGTTGTCTTCTGCCACGTAGTGAACCATAGCGGCGGCAATGACTATGACTACGGCTGCAGCGTACATCCGTTGATGAGCAATAGCAAAGCTGCTCGAAAGGATGATGCAAAATGCATCTTCAATACCAATCCTTTGACAAGAGAGGCCCAATCTGCGCGAACAAGATGATGAACACGTAGTTCTTGTCCTAGGCATCTACTTGCAGGCCGCGATCCGCACGAGCGGCAGCTGCTGGAGCAAGATTGCCTATGAAAAGTTCGGATAGCGGAGGTCCTCTGTGGTGCAAAGATCGCGTGGCACGGCCTCAAGCACTTGCTCGGATTGGCTCGGCTCCCCTTGTGGCTCACCTGCTGCAAGTGAATGCGACAGCCTTGTTATCGCGACAAGCAGATTGGGTCAAATTTACGAGGATGATCTTAGGAGATCGTTGCTGCAGCGCTTGGCAATTTCACTTTTGGACTTTCAGATCCCTGGGGCAATGTGCATCACGTTGCTAGGTCAAAGTGAGCACCAGCATTGATGAATAAACACGCAAGCCCGAAGCAATGCTTCGAGGCGCATCGGCGCCCGCATGCAACAAGAACTGCGGTCGTAGGAATGTCAGCTCCACAGGGACAACCTGCCGTGAAGTGACATCCAAGCGGACATCGTCATCAGATGCCATCTTGGATTGCACGCAGGAAGCTGAAGAAGAGGACGGCAAGAATGCGCTATATCAACATGCGCCAGTAAAAGTTGGAAAGTCAGGACAGCCATGCACTCAAGCAAGGACATGTACATCTAAACTACATGTCAACGAAAACATTCCGACTTGACTTGACAGCTTTGACAAACATGATCGCGGGGCACGCCCCCGGGCTTGTGAGGCTCCAGGCAACTTAATTCAAGGCTGCGAAGCTCTGCTCGCTGCACTGGCCAGCGGCGCGAGGCAGGCATGCTGAGAAGCGTCAGCTCAGCAGCTGTGCTGTGCCTACTTGCAGCATTGGACCCTCTGAGCAGCGTATTGCATGCGCATTATTAAGTGAATAGAGTACAAAGCACGCACAGTATCCTACCAGCGCGCACTAGTGCAGCCATCTGCAGCCATGGCGAAGAGCAGCTAGACTCCGCAGGCGCACTTGTCTGCATCCCGGACCGATCTTGTGCCACAATACCACTGCAGCAGTACTGGCGTGTCTTCGCTGAGGGGTGACTCGAGCATGCGCCACACCTCCCCTGCTGAAAAGATCATGTGGGTGGACGTACGTTTGTGCAAGGCAAAAAGTAACTGATGTAGATACCATCTGAATTCGCAACAAGCTTTGCGCACATGCACACGCACATTGTCATCTTCAGTATCATCTTCAGTCTTCCTCGATCTGCCGAACAAGATGGCGCTGGAGATTTGAGCATCGGCATATTGGTCTCAGGCAGCGACATGCCATCTCACATAACCCACAGCATCCAGCCTCACATGAATAAGAGCTTAAGTTCCGGCCAAAGCAAATACCAGGGCTCGGACAAGAGCACCACAGGCAGCTCCTTATTGTACAAGTGAAGGGCCCGTTCCTCGGAACAGCTGCTACTGCCATTGTGTTCCTTAACTAAGAAGCATTACATGGCTCCTCAGCCTCGCACATATTCCCACTTCCACTTGCCCCGGTACACAAATGTTCTCCAAATTTCACTTTCATCGACCTGAACTTTTGCCACGCTGCACATGGGTAGGCACGTCGGCTGCATGCAGATTGCAACTGAGGGATCTGCCTGACGTCGCAAATGAAACTTTGTCAGCTGATGCGTTCTGCGATTGAACCAGCCCTCCTCACAGTGCAGCTTGAGAACCTCACAGGTTGCGGACCGGGCTCGCTTCCAATTTCCAAGCCTTTTACTGAAAGCTGACTACTCTAAAGCTTTCATATCAGAGACATTCGGATTTCAACGCCGATCTAGATTAAAGACGACTTGAAGATGCAGCTTTGGTAGATGAGCGCAGAACTGGACAGAGAAGCATTTAATCGGCCCTCATCGATGCCAAGTTCCCAGATTTAGCTGCCGGACAGAACGATGCTCGAAGACTTGTGACGCGAGCTGCCACCGCTTTCCCACATATGGATTTGTTTGGAGCAGGTGATCTTGGGGGCTTTGTGCAAGTTCAACCTCAGAAGATACGCACTTCGTCTTCTAGGAGGCCAATAGGTCAGGGTAGCAGGGCAGAAGGCATCTTTCAAGCTGTGAAACACGGGCATGCAGCTTTGCCATCTTGTGGGTGTCAGTAGCCTGAATCCCGATTCTCATGCAGGTCTGCCCAAACTGCCCCAATTTCAGTTTGGCTCAACACTGCATGATGCTAGGTCGTGCCCCGGCTCGACGCGGCTGCTTACAATGATGTCAGGTCAGGATGGGTCTGCGGTCTGCAGCCAGCCATTCAACAACTCATGACGAGCTCGGCATTTGAACTTCTACGGATTCTATGCCAGGAGTACGGCGACCATGAGGCACATCAACCCGCACATTGCCTTGCTGCTCGCCACACGCACATAGGTTATGTGATGGCAACAAATGCTGATTTGGCCGGTCGGTACTATATACTGCACTGGTCCTTTGCACTAGGCGCCGGCATTTTCAAAAACCGTTTTGCCTCATTTTCGCCCAGCCCATGACTGCGCCAGCGTCCTTCGACTTGAGCTTAAACACGCTGCGAAACCTCCAGCCCAAGCCGAGCCCAAACTCTAGCCGAAACCTTCGCATTTCACTGCGTGTCTTGGGCCAGAGGGTGGGATGGCTCCCTCGGCACCGAAAAACACGTGGGCGCACTATCGCTTGCTGCGATCCATTACAAGGCTGGCATTGGAAGTTTAATGTAAGGCCTGCGAGTTGGGCAATGCGTTGAAGTCAGACGCAACTGCATCGATCCACTGGCGAAGGCCCGTCCTGTAGCTGAGCAACAAAGAAAGACAACCGGTTAACCAAGTTCAACATCTGAGTGTCAAGCCATAAGCCGCTCAGTGGCTGCCCAGAGAAGACCAGAAGCAGCGTTGTCCTTTTAGTGATCCAAATTCTCAAGGGCAATGAACGAAAATGCGCTAAGCAGGTTTGAAGATTAGAGAACGAGTCGAACAGAGGCTGGAAACATTGATGCAGGCATCCGTCAAAACCAACATATTTGTCTCACAGTTCCTGCAATTCCTTGCATAGTATCATAGACTCGCGCACATTCTGCAGCGCTCCGCACACCTCTCGATCTGACGATGCAACCCTTGAATCTCCAGAACTCCCTGGGGCGTGCTCAAAGGCAAACAATTCATGCAACAGTCATGCTAGAACTACCGGATTGCGTTTACAGAACTGTGAATTCTTAGCATCTTTGCTGACGACGCACAGTAAAACGTCAGCATAGTTATCCTTGTGCTTTGCACGTGTTGAATTTGCGTCACAGAGGTTGCTGATCGCATTGCGTGCCGTGGATGATAAATCGAGGGCATGTCAAAACATGCAAGACAGAAACAATTTGTTTGCTTCACTGGGCTGCCCAAATAGTCGCATATTCATGAGGACACTCTCCATGGCCAACTGATTTTGGAAGGTCTGCAAAAACAACTAGGTAACTAGGAATGCGCTTTGGGGGCATCGGATGTTCAGACATATTGGTTGCTATCCTTTGTTTCTGAACCTGCCGTGTTTAAAGCCCATTCGCTTGAGAAATGGCCAACACAAACCAATACCAAAAAACACAACTCCTGGGGCGCAGGCAAAACGTTGACTGGTTTCCCGGGCAACAAACAACAAACGCTGGCTGTTGTTGTTGTTGTTGCTGTTGTTGTTGTTGTTGCTGTTGTTGTTGTTGTTGCTGTTGTTGTTGTTGTTGTTTGTTGCTGTTGTTGTTGTTCTTGTTTTT